TAAAACTTGAATGTGTAAAGGCTTACCAAGAATGATGATTATCTTGTGAAAATCCTCTTGAAACCTAAGCAAAATCTTGAGAATTTTAGAGGAAGAAGATGGATGATTCTTGAGAGAAATGGAGAGAATTTGGTGTGATGTGTGTGTGTGTTTTGGCTCTCGGCCGAGAGTAGAAGAGGAGAGGGGAGAGAGGGGTGAGGTGACTAGCTTGGTTGCATGGTGGTTTAAACTTTGATGCATGTTGGATATTATGGAGGTGGCACCTCCAAAGTCAACCCCCTTAATTCTCTTCCTTTTTTTTGTTCATACATGGGGCGAGATTTTAGGCCAAGAAGAAAAGGTGGAGTAGATTGGGCCCATTAACTTTAGCTAGGATATTCGGATCCTAAACATAAAATTTGTCGGCCCATTGGGCTCTTGGAAACATTCACGGCCCAATTAGAATAAAAGAATGGGCTTATGGCTCACTAAGGTTAATTGGATTAGTTATGGCCCAATAAGGCCCATTAGGGTTAGAATGAATCATTCTAGGCCCAAATGGTCCAAAATGTTTTAGATTTATAAATTGGGTCCAATTAGGATCCAATTTGGGTTTCTAAGTCCAAAAAAAAAAGTTGAATTGGGTGCTTATTGGTCCATTAGGCCCAATAAGGAACTCCTAGTCCAATGTGGACTTAAACCATGGATCTTAGGGCTTCAGACTCTTTGATGAACATGAATGGTGAATCTAAATGAGCATTGAGTGAGATTTACTTAGAGTATATGTTTTACAATAGTTGAATGGTTACACAAGAACATAATTTCCTAGCTAAAATGTCAGTTGTGACAAATTTAATGCTTTAAATCAAAAAGTGTGTGAACGGATTGCTTTATTTTTCTTTGAATTGCAAATAAATTTCCTAAACAAGTAACATTTTATTGTTTTCAACCCATTTTATGGTTTTAATGTTTTCAACCCCAAAATTAAATTTTCAATTTAATTTTTCACCAACTTCTTATTTAATTACAAAAAACATTTTTAATAAAATTCATAATATTCAAATACTACAAATTAAATCACACATTCAACATTACACACACACACAAAACATTATCTCCCTCACATTCTATCTCAATTCATCAAAAAAAATGTCTTCATCTCACCCAAACAAAACCTCAATAAACAACAAAAAGAATTTTTCAAACCTTCCATCACTAAACCTTCCATCTCCAAACCCTCAATTACCAAACCTTCCATCACCACAATGTTATCGACCTTCATTTGATCAACCCATTCACTCACCCGCTAGCCACTACTTCCCATATATGGCTCTTCAAATGTATCAATTCAATCCGTACGCTTCTCAACCAATCCACTTTTACCAAAACCAATCACAACTAATACCTCGTCCAAATTTGGATCTTGATCCGCTTGAGACGGTTCAAGAAACTCAATTCTTTTCACAACCTCAACCCCAAAGTAATTTTCAATGCCAACCACGCCGTCTACTCGACGAGTCAACCGATTCCTCCGATGAAGGACCCGTTGAAGAGCCCGTTGAAGAGTCATTTCAAGAGCTCCAAGCAAAGGGAAAAAGGAAGGCTCAATGCAAAGGGTGGACAGATGATGAAGAGACGACACTAGCGCAAGGATGGCTAGATGTGTCGGAGGATCCAGCGACGGGCGACGACCAAGATTCAACGACCTTCAAAGCTAGAGTTTGGCATAATTTTTGTCACCGAATGAAAAGGCAGTACCGCAATCCTGATCAACTTTACTCCAAATGGAGGACTGCCAACAAAGCCGCAATGGAGTTTAACGGCATCTACATGAACGCGATCCACAACCCCCAAAGCGGTGCAAATGAGGTGGATGTGTTAGCAAAAGTTCGTAAGATTTACAAGGCCAAAGTCGGAAAACCTTTTGGCAATGAGGGGTTTTGGGAAGTTGTGAAGGGGAAACCGAAATGGCTTAATTTAAGAAGTGCTGATGATTACGCAGACGCTTCCAAACGAAGCAAAACTTCTGAGACCACTCGCAGTAACTCTTCTGATGCACGTGTCGGAGGGATTGACCTCAACAACAATGATCCTTATGAAGTTCCAACTCGTCCTATGGGGCGGGACAAAGCAAAAAGAAAGCTGAAAGGAACCCAAAGTTCATCGACTGAATTGGAGGAGATAAGGAGCGATATCAAAGGGTTGGACGATAAGCTTGACGGTTTTTTGGAATTGGGAAAGCTAAAAGAAAAGAACCGTGCGATAAAAGAAAAGAACTGTGCGTTACAACTTTTCTTAACCCCAGTAGAGAATATGTCCGAGGAGGACCGTCAGATTTTTAACAAGGCAAAGGAGGATATTGCTAAACAATACAACTGAGATTAGCTGTGTTAAGTCGTATTTTAATTTATGTTTTAATTTATTTTTTCCGTCTAGTATTAAGTCGTGTTTTAGTGTAGTATTTAGAAAGTTTTAATTTATGTTTTAATTAATTAATGTTTTAATTTATGTTGTGACTCATGTTTTAATCTATAAAGTTTAAATGATTTAATAATTTAGTTTGTATATTAATATGCACCTTAAAGACTATATATTTAACTAAATTACTACCATTTAAAGGTAATTTCATATATTTATTGAGTAATATAAATAAATACAAGTATAGAGAATTCAAATAAAATAATGGCAACGACAGATGCATCATACATGTAAATATGAAGCATTATATATCAAAAGCTAAAAGAGAATTTAAATGAGTATATTAATATAACAAAGGTCTAAATTAAACTTTTGATAAATGAGTAATAAATGAAAGTTCTATATAAGTCCAAGGGATGTAGTTAGAAATATGTAATAGAATAATAATTGTGTACTGTACGCCTATTCACAGGAAGAGAATATATGTACATTAAAGTGTAAGGAATCTTATGCAGAAAAGTTTAAATGCATAGGAAGAGGATTAATGAAGATATCGTAGTCATTTACAAAAAGAGAATATTAACCATAAATTTGTCATTTTAGTGAACAATTATATGGGCCTATATATACAAGACCATATTACCTTAATTCTACATAAAAAAACATTCTCAACTCTTCATAAAGAAATTGTCATTTTTGTCTTCGTCATCTTCATCGGATAATGTTTTTGATAACGTAGTACAGTCAGTCTTCTCCATACGTAATAGGCTAGAAAAACATCTTAACAACATTGAATCAAGCAATACGCAACGTAAACGAAGAAGATATATCCAAAGACAGCGTGAAGCGGCCCACCAACGTCTCATGCAAGATTATTTTGACGAAAATGCTCTTTCAAGGATATTATTTCCGCCGACGATTCCGGATGCATAAAGATTTGTTTATGCGTATTGTAGAAGGTGTGACTTCAGTGTCTGAGTATATGAGGCAACGCCCAGACGCAAGAGGTACGTTAGGCTTTGATCCAATTCAAAAATGTACTGCTGTATTTCGTATGTTAGCATATGCCACCCCCTGATGCACTAGACGAGAGTTTTAGGATGTCTGCACGTACCGCCCGAGAAAGTCTTCACGAATTTTGCTTAGCTGTCATGTCTTTGTATGGTCCACGATATTTGCGTCGTCCTACTGGTAGTGACATACAAAAGTTGTATGCTCATAATGGAAATGTGCATGGTTTGCCTGGGATGTTAGGAAGTTTAGATTGCATGCATTGGAAATGGAGTATGTGTCCTAATGCATATCATGGACAATACACAAAGGGCAATTATCATTATCCTACGGTCGTGCTTGAGGCTGTAGCCTCACAGGATTTGTGGATCTGGCATGCCTTTTTTGGTAGTGTCGGCTCGCTTAATGATATTAATATTCTCAATAACTCACCAATATTCAACAAGGTGTATGACGGTACTGCCCCAGATTCGTCATTTATACTCCGAGGAACATAATACAAATTTGGGTATTATCTTGTGGATGGGATCTATCCTGAACTTTCTGTTTTCGTTAAAAGTTTGTCATGTCCGGATGACCCTCAGATGTCCAGATTTAAGAGAGTCCAAGAAAAAGCAAGAAAAGATATCGAACGAGCGTTTGGAGCACTTAAAAAGCGTTGGCAAATAGTTGCAAAAGCATCCATGTTTCGTGATATTTCTACTATGACAGAAGTGATGTATACATGTATCATATTGCATAATATGATTTTAGAACATGAAGGAAATGCGATATGTGTGTACGACGAGAATGAAGTCATCCCAGATACACAACCACTAGAATATGGTGGTCAAGAATGGATACAAAGAATGAGGATAATTCACAATTCAGTAATCTATACCGATCTTCGCCGTCATTTGACCGATCATCTTTGGACGATGGACAATCTTGATCTAAATATGCCACCGGAAGACGAATTGGAAGGTCAGTATTTGGAGGAAGACCCGTTGCTTTAGTGTGTTTTTTATGAAGTGTGTTTTAGTTATGAACTGTATTTTTTATGTATTAAATTGTGTTTTAGGTCTTAAGTAGCATGAAATCGTGCTTTAAGTTATTGTAATCGTTTTTATTTAATATGAAGTGTGTGCCGTTAAAAAAAATTATGTCATATTAATTCAATCAAAAAAATGTTTGTATAATATTAAAAAATATATTTTGTATAATATTAAATAAAAGTTGTTTGTTCATTAAAACAAAGTAATTACATTAAATTAGAAAAAGATCTTAAAAAAATATTTTATATAATATTAAATAAAAAATGTTTGTTTATTAAAATAAAGTAATTAAATTAAACTAAAAAAATAAAACAAATGGAGTGTTAGGAGTGTTATCACTCCCTACCAAATGTTAAGATCAAGTGTTAAATGGAGAAAAATAAGGTGGCATTCAAAAAGCTGACGTGGCAAGGTGTAAGGTGTTAGGAGTGTTAATGCCACCATCACCAACTAACCACCATATTGGAACCCACATTGCCTTCAACCACGATCACAGAAAAACCCCACCACCTTCGTTGCTCTCTGTCTGTCTGTGCACACTCCACCAAAAAACTGGCGATGTCACCACCACCATACAACCACACCAATGATGGCGATGTCGCGATCTTCATTTTTGTATTAATGAAGATAAGATTGATATGCAGGCGACAATGGAAGGATATGTGTTTACGTTGGTGTTGTAATTTTTTATTTTTATTGTTGGTTCTAACCCTAATCAGAGAACTATCTTAATTTATGCTTGCTAATTTCTAGCCCTGAATCCATTTTTGGTTGATGTTATTTATATTCGAATTATGTATCTGCTCTTTATTTTTGGTCGATGCTTTCTATAATTAACTAATATTGTTTTCTAACCCTAAATCAATTTTGAATTATGCGTGTTCTTTATTTTCTAGCCTTGATTTACTAACTTGATGTTTCAGATCACTTAGACCACTGACTTGTGGTACTTGGGGGGGTTTTTTAGGTACAAAGGATGTTGTTGGAGATGGTCTTAGTAAGCAAGTCTCCAAGGGTCATCTTTAAGAAACAATGTATCCATTTTCTTGAAGAGGAATAAGGTACTTGGCCTAATCTACTCATACAGAGGTTTGTTAATCGGATATGGAAGATGTGTTAGTTAATTTAACTGTTTACTTTTCTAGAACCAGATCTAGAAAATTGTTCATGATTTTTATTTGACACTCATGGTAATGTTTTTCAGGTTAAAAGTTTGATTGTATAATTTTTTAAAATCAAATTTCATGTTCAAAGCTTATGGAGTTATGATATTGTAAAAAATGTCAAACATTGTGTAATTTTGAACATTACAGGTTATGTTCAAGACTAGGCTGGGTGAAAATTTCTCTTCAATCCCAGTTTCTCCCAAATCCTACAGTGTTGAAATTTTTTCTTAAAGGTAGGTGAAATATAGTGTTCATAGTTATGATCAATTTGTTTTTATTTGCTCTGGTGGGTTGTGTTATATCTATAATGGCAGCTTCTGGTTTTGGTTCCTATACCTTTTCAGTTAAATTAAAATAATCGTTGTTCAGTAATTAAATTCTTTCTTTTTGTTTTCGTTATGAGGATTTTTACAATCCTTTTTTTGTGATGAACAGAAGATGAAGATTTCAAGGCCATGGGTATGAAAGGAACTTCTGCTACATTTTGAGGTATGGTTTAAAAGAAGTGGACTGATGAGGTTAGTGTATATGCGTGTTGTTTGGCAGGATATGCGTGTTTTGTTCCTGGATTTAGTTGGGATCTTTTTGCTTTTGGTTAAGTTCTCTTGTGAATAATTACATGGTTGATAAAGTGGTGGGGCAAAATGGAAGAAAATATCATATTTTGTAAATTGCACTTGATTCGATATGTTTATTTCTTTAGTAAAAGTCAATAATTCATATGAAAAGGTAAAATGACTATGTGTGTATGCGGGTTAAAAAATCTACATATAGAAAAGTTTGTACTTATAGAAAGGCGTTGTTGGAAACGAGAATGTGGCTTCAAGAGCTCATGGGTTTAGAGTTCTTCCACATCATAGAAAAGTTTGAATTAAAAAAAATGATTTCAAATAGTTCAAAACTTACTTTAAAGTCTTTATCGTTAGAGCATATTACATGCCACTGTATCTGTATATGCTCTAACGATACTAAAGATAGAAAATCAGTGTGCATGTGACTGTATTTGTGTGTTGTTGTGGCAGGGGAAGGGGTATATTGGTCATTTTAAATTGCTATTTTGCTAAAAAAAATCATTCAACACTTGGCATGAAGAAATATTGTAGTGTTCTCTTTATGTTATTAAAATTCACAACATTTTTTTTTCATGTAGAAGGTGATCATTTTTCATTTAAACCAATAGAAGGGTAAATTGGTCATTAAGTCAGATCATCCAACCCCAAAAAGAAACATTATTTGTTTTTGTTGTTTTTTTACTACTGTGTATGTTTAAGATATTCTTTTATAGCATTCTACTTTAATTCATTACTTATCTTATCTCTAAAGATTGCTCTAAAAGGCCAATAAGGCAAAGCTGTTCCAAGAGGGTAAAACGACACCAAATAACGTTTGAAGAGAGTTGTGGCATGTTGATAACAGTTTGTTTTTTTACCAATTGTTAGTCAACTAATTAAAGTGATTTGATAATTTTAAATTGGTTTATTATTTCTTTTAATACTTATAGTTACAGCAAGTTCTATTTGAATTGATACGAAACTTTGTTGAGTTTTTGTAACAACTACTTAATCATAATTTACATTTTACCAATTGTAAATTAACAAAAGTGAGCAGATAATTTAATATTGATTTATAAGTAATTTAATAGTTTAAAAATGAAATAAAAATGGTAATATGAATAAAACAAATCCACTAATAGATAGGTTTTGAAATTAATATATGCACTCTTATTTTGGCACACTTGATACTTTGGTTGTATAAATTGAAATAAAAAATTAAAATTAAAAGCACCAAATCGATACTAATATCCTTTATCAATGTGAATCATTTTGGAGATGGTTAAAAAAAAATTATTTCATATTACGCCGAAAAAACGTTCTTTGTATTTTCGTTATTCAATTCTTTTGGCAAAATCAGATTCTTCCAACAGATGTTGTGAAAAAAATGCACCCTAGAAGTTTCTTAAAGCTATGTTTATCAACAAAAAATAATTTAACCCCAGTTTGGTATTGGGATGTACAACCAACTTACACGCACTATATGACAATTTTGAATTTGTTTTTGGAGGAAACTATTCGCCACAATGACATTGCACTGCAGTGTTGTCGAAAAGAACCCAATCGTCGCCCGTCTTGTTGCACGGGTATGCGACTAGCTGTCATTTTTTTTATATATAAAAAATAAAGACCTAAATGTAAGAAATAACACTGTACTTTCCATTTTCTCCTTATTATAACATTATTGTATTTTCTGTTTTTTATTACAACATGGTTGTTTCTAATAAAAAGACGTATAACTCCCTTATAAAAAGTTGTATGCAAAACAAAAATGGATAGCTGTCAAAAATTTTTTTTTATCAAAAATAAAAAACAAAGGCTTTCAAATTCAATCATTGTTTTCATATTAAAAGTATATTTTTAACATAAAAGATACATTTCAAATTCAAAATTTGAATTTCCATGAAAACTTAGAATAGATACTTTAAGAAATTGATCCGTGTTTTTGTTTAAACTACCAAGAAATTAACAAACATAACAAATTTAGAAATATATACGACAAAATAATATAAAATATGATATTTGTTTAAAAACTGATGATATTAAGCATTTTAAAATTATCATTTTCAATATAAGTTTTTTTATTAAATTGTTTGTTATAAACGAGAAAGGAATAAAAATTATATATTTTATTGACTTTAATTTTTCTTTTCTTTTTTTGAGTTGTTTTTACTAAAGTAGTTATCAGTAAGAATACCTAAGAATGTATGACAGTCAAAAAAGTGTTTTTTTCCTTAATACACATGTTTTAATTATTTTTATATACATGTTTTAACACATATTTTTTAATTATTATATATATATATATATATATATATATATATATATATATATATATTTTTCTTCTTGGAAGACTGTGTTGGGCTCTCTACTATCATATTTTGGTGCTCTTTTGGTGTGTGGTTGACCATTTTTGCCCTTGGTGCTTGCTTTGCTGCTTCCTTGTGATTTGTTTGTTGATTGGTGTTGGTTTTGATTGTGCTTATTGCTTTTATTTGCAATATAGGCATTATACTTTCAATATCGTTCATATTATAGCATTGTACTTTTGTAATATTATGGTTTAATAGGGAAAAATTAGAATAAATTTTTAAAAAGAAATATAAATGAAAAGAATATGCAATGTTCTAGAAACAAATGAAAGTACATTGTTATTTTTTTTACATTTAGCCTAATTAGGTGCTAACCGTAAGAAGTATCAATGTACTTTGATTGGTTTTCCTTTTTACGTATTTTGTTACTGAAAATTAAATAATATAATTAGTATGCATATGTTGCATAAATGTTTTAAAAAAGTTAATAATTTGAAATGAAAGTATGATACTATATGAGACAAACAAATGAAAATACATTGCTATATATTTCAGTTACCTTTTGATTGGGCTAAATGCAAAAAATAGCAATGTGCTTTCACTTACTTTTATAACATCGAACATTCATTTCTAATTCTAACTTTTTGTTTTTTCTTCTTATTTAAGGTTTAATATGATTTTTTTTAAAAACTTATGAATTTTAAATGAAAGTATGACACTGGATTAGACAAACAAATGGAACTACATTGCTATATCTTGCATTTAGCCCATGATCGGGCTAAATGCAAGAAATATAAATTTATTTTCATTTGTTTGAATAATTATACAATCTAATTTTCAATTCTAATTTTAACTTTTTTTTAAATATTGTTTTTTAAGAAAATATAATAACCGTTTCTTGGTTAATCATAACAATCAATAAAAAGGGACATTTGTGAATGAACAATAAACACCGAAAGGAAACAATTTGTCGAAAAGTAACTTGTGCTCCTTGATATATAACATGTTTCTGAACGGAATTTATTGCCGAAATAAACTATTCGCACCCGTCGCTTGGCGCGGGTAAACGGCTAGTATATATATATATATATATATATATATATTAAGTTTTCTAAACATTAAGTGCATTAAGTAAAAAAGAAACACACCCTTACTCCCTTTGGTTTTGTCTCATTTTGCAGGTCTCAGATCAATATACTCCAAAGTGATTCTATCATGTTTATATCTTGCGACTAGCTTGGTTTTACTATACATTGTTTGTCCGTTTGTTTTTTCTACAAGTATAAGTTAAAAATGTTGGATGTCATCTATGTGACACAATTGTTCTATTCTTTATAGAGGTATAACTGTAGACATCTATCTCATCATACATCATTACAATGGGATTCATGGGGGTCTATTGTTGTTGTTAAGATATTTAATGTTTTTTTATAAATCACACGAGTATCAAAACTATATGAGAGGTTTAGTAAAAAAACTAGTGTTTCGAGATGGACGATCGTATGAGGTTGAGGTTGTGTTTAACCAAATAAAATTTTTGTGGCTAGATTGTAATTTTTTAAATGATAAATCATAAAAACCTTAAATTATAGTGGTTAATTATGTAATTAAAAGTTTTATGGTTAAAAAGAAACCCTTCGTAATATTACTGTGTTTTTTTATAAATCAAAATTTCGATAATTAAATCATAAAATATTATCAATGATTAAAATTAATTAACTCAACCTATAATAAGCTTTTATAGAATTTAACCTTATAAAAACACTAAAAAGACCTCACTCTCTAGAGTCTAGAACAATATTTATGCATTTGATTCTCTTGACTAAACACTCAAAAGCCCAAATTGATGACTGAACCCAAATTATGAGCGTTGACCAATTTCACACATCCCTGTGAAAATGTTGGCCGGCCGTTGGACACGGTCACACGCCCCTTGCCTACGCCAATTAATTACTTTTGCATTTATAACGGTTATGTACACTAAACCCCTTAAAGTTACTCAAAGTTTTCAGAACTACCCATCATCTACTATTATATGAAAATGTAACACCTTCTACTCTTTATGTCTTTTTATTTTTGTATTTTTGGGAAACAAGAGTGCTACCTTAATCAGATATATAGTTGTTATCAGGGTTCATATTTTTATATAAATTGATGTTTGTATTTTTGAGATCTTTAGTAGACATTAAATATCATTTCCTTTTGTTTTGAACTCTATTTGAATTCATGTGAAAGTAAAAAATACTTTCAACCATTTATTATTCAAATACAACGTATATTTTAGCTTATAATTTTAAGAAATCAATATTTTTAATGTTTAATATATTCAATATGTTTGGCACAACACTTGTACATGCTTTTAGATTTTAGTTTTTAAGAAAGACTAAAAAAAATCGTTCGACAATAAGAGTTTTTAGCTTTTATTTTAATCAAAAAATTCATAATAAGAAGCTACAAGTAGCGTTTAACACAAAGCTCATACATATTATAACAAATTTATAATATTACCCTGAAATATATGTTTATATATTTATATTTTTTAAAGAATTGTCTTTTATGTAACTTCATATATTTCAAAAAGTTTAAGCTACTTTTGCCGAATACTTATACACAAATAAAGCTAGCAGCTAACAACTACAGACTACGAACTAACTTCATATTAGTTTTACCAAACATGTCCATAATACAAAATTAACCTAGTTACATGTTAATTTTCAATAACTTTCTTATTTAAACGGTTTAATTTATGTAAATGAGAAAAAATGTATAATAAGTTACATTTAATGATTGAAGAATATATGAATTAATAAAATAATAAAAACACCTTACCCTTTTGCAAATAACCTTTTTAGGTTGTAAAACAAAAAACAAAGAACAAAAGAACAAATAGAAAAGTCAAGGGTAAAGAATAGAAATATAAGATTTAGTCAATTAATTTCCATGTAGGCTTAGGTGTTTTCTTTTCCCCATTTGTCAATTTCCCCTGAATTCCTTTGTAGTATTTGATTCAAAGTGAGTGTCTGTATCGAGTACCCGCCAACCTCGGACCCCTTCAAACCCACCGGATTTCAACCATTTTCTCTCCGATTTTTCATCGGTTTCCAGAAATAGTCGAATTTTGACAGCGCCTAATCTTCCACAATGTTACGTTCCAAATCCAGGTACTACCACATCCAAATTTCTGTCTCTGTATCATCATCATACGTTACGTGTAAATTTCGTCGTCTTTATCCTTGATTTATGATAAGTATCGTTGATTTTTAGATCTGGTTATTTGGAATTCGGGCAAAAGAAGCATCAATCTTTTCTCATTAGAAGCATTTCCGGATCGAAGATTTGTAGGGGAGATGCTCTTGCTTCACAAGTCGCTAAAGAAGCCGTCGTTTCCGTTGATCGCAAGTCAATTAGTTTATCAGAGGTATATAAAATTGTTAAATTTTGGTGTAATTAGGTTAAATTTCTGTGTATATATGATGACGATGATGATGGTTTTTGTTTTTGTTGCGTAGAATCGGATTGTTAAGGCTGCAATGATGCAAAAGCAAGTAACCGATTTAGAGGAGGAGTTGAAGAACACAAAGGCGAGATTAAATGAAGCAGAAAGAGAAAAAAACCGACTCATTACGGAGGTTAATGCAGGATTGTCAAAAGCGTTTGAGGCTAAATTGGCAGAAAGGGATAAATATTTAGAACAATTGAAAAAGGAATTGGCCACATTGAAGGATGAAAGCAAAAAACAGATGCAGGAATTGGAAGATCAGGTGGAAAAAGCAAAGCAATCGGAATCAAAAATGTTGGAGTCGCTGATGTTTCAAACGCAAGAAATTATGCAAACTAAAATGGATTTAGAAGAATCGAAACTTGAAGTTGCTTCACTTTACGAGAGGCTCGAGAATGGTGGCAACAACACATCAAAAGGTAATTACAATTACAATCATAATCAAAATCAAAAGCAAAATCAAAATCAAAATCAAAATCAAATTCAAAATCAAGCATCAATGGAGACAATAGCATTAAAAGAAGAAATCGCAAAGCTGAAGAACGAAGTAAAACATGCAATGGAAGGCGAGGAGAAAAGCAAGAAGGCGATGGATGGTTTAGCATCTGCATTACAAGAAGTAGCGACAGAAGCAAGTATGACAAACGAAAAACTAAGATCAACAGAAGAGAAAGTAACCGATTTGAGTTCAGAAGTCGAGCGATTAACGGAAGAACTCGAGATACAAAGGGAAGAATATGATCGATTACGAGTGGAATCTGAGGAATCTTATCTCACATGGTCATCAAAAGAAATGGGATTCATAACTTGTATAAAAAAATCCGATGAAGAATCCGCCGCCGCTAAACACGAAAACAACCGGCTGAAAGAAGCCCTAGTCTCCGCCGAAAACACAGCACGAATCGCGAGAGAAGAAGCTTTCAAGCTTCGAGACATTCTCAAACAAGCCTTAAACGAATCAAACGTCGCTAAAGAAGCCTCCAACATCGCTCGATCGGAAAATTCAGAACTCAAGGACTTACTAGCAGAAAAAGAAGACGCATTACATTTCCTCACAAAGGAAAACGAACGATTACGAATCAACGAAGTCGCAGCTCGTGAAAACGTGAAAGAGTTCAAGAGATTATTAGCTGCAAAAGCAGAAGCTGAAAAATTCTACGACGAAAAAGAACACAACGACGATTTCGACTCCCCGCTTTCGTGTCTCTACGAAGATCATTACGACGGAAGAGGAACACCACGGCAGACATTCAGCTTCGATTTCGATGATCTGAAAGCGTTCAACAAAGACGACGACGTTTTCAACAACTTCGAGGACGACACAGTTGCTGATATCGCTGTAGGTGATGATCCGGAGAAGGCGGAGGCGTTGAAAGGTTCAATTTTTGACATGTCGGCGTCTCCTAAATCAGAGCCGCAGACGCCGAAGTATAAACCGGAGCACCGGCGAGCTTCGTCGATTTATACGGACGCAGGTGGGGTGGGTCAAGGGGAGGAAGGTGAGAACGCCGGTAGTAGTGGGCATAGCCATGGCCATGGTCATACGGAAGATGGAGATGATAGGAGCTACTACAGCCGGAAGAAGCTGTTTAAGAAGATCGGAGAACTTATCGTCGGAAAACAAACCAGTAAAAAAGAAGGCTCAGAAACGCCTAAAGAACATGGAAAAGAAAAAGAACAGAGCAAAGAACAGAGTAAAGAACATAGTAAAGAAAAAGAACAGAGTAAAGAAAAAGAAAAGGAACAGGGTAAAGAAAAAGAGCAGGGTAAAGAAAAAGAAGAGGGTAAAGAGGGTAAAGAGCTAGGTATGTAGTTTGATTGTTTAATAGTGATTTCAGATTTTATGATTATAGTTTTTTCTTTGTTGTAATGAGTTAAATCTGTGTGTATGTTTATAGCGATTGCAGAAACGACGACGCATCATTCAAGTGGATTTAGTGGATACACAACCGCTGGATGGAAAAAAGTTGCTTTATATTACGGGCCTTACGGTGGTTCAAAGGATTCTTGATACAAAAAGCTCGGTACAGAAGGAGTTTGTTCACCTCTTATGAAGTATAGACAGGTTATTATTATTTTTTTGCAATTGTAATTTATCATTTCTTATTGTGGGACGTAATATATTTACATTTTGATGATTAGATGATATGATTTATATTTATATTTATGCCTATAAGAGTTGTATACATTAAGTTGTTAGATTTATTGTCTATTTATATATGTTTTGTTTTGAACCGGGTATTGTTTTACGATTGTATATAATATCACATGGTACATGAAAATGAAAGTACGATGTCATATGTGGACATGAGTTCAAATACTATGTACTCACCTTTGTTTGCATATCATATTACCCCCAATGTGCTCTCGCAAGTATTAAGAAAGTCAAAGAACAATAAAGAATTGGCAATTAAGCAGGGTAGTCAACGAATGAAAACCTAATTAGTCATGCTTATCCTTTAATTACCCTTATATAGGTGTTAAGAATCCACCCGTATAAGCTAAATAGTCAACGAATGAAAATTAGAAATTTGTTTTCGGAATATGGATGGAAATTTTCACGAACATGTATATAATGTGTAGGCACCCCATGACAAGCAAAAGTCCCCAAGTGATTACTTTTAAGAGAAAATTACAAAAATAGCCTAATATCATAATTACTTTGTGGAAAATAGCAAAAAAAAACCAAATTACAACAATAGCCACCAAAATCGTAGATGGACTCAGTCCATCTGCGATTTTACTAGTCCATCTGCGATTTTGCGTCCATCCGTGATTTCCCCTTTTTTAGGGGTATAAAAACGTAATTTTTTTTTTCCTTCTTTCATTTTTCAAACTTTTTTTTGAGAACTCTCTCTAGAGTCATTATGAACGATTTTATTTTTCAAAGTTTTTGTTGAAGAATTCATTTTATTAAAGATGTTTTAAATAAATGTTCCAAAAAAATAAGTACTAAATTTATATTTTTTTTGTAAAACTTTATACATAATAATGTTATTTCGTAGTTAAACCCTATCAATTTTGTAGTCAAAATTTAAAAAAAAAAAAAAGAAATTCAAAAGACAAACGCAAAATCGCAGGTGGGATGAGAGGAAATCGCAGATAAACTTAGTTCATCTGCGATTTCAGTCAAAGATTGGGGTATTTATACGGAAAAAATAAAAAAAAAACTAAAAAAAAAAACCATCTGCGAACGTACAAGTCGCTAAAGCACGACTGTGCTTTAGCGACTTGTATGTTCATAGATGGAATGCTAAAATCGCAGATGAGCTTAATCCATCTACGATTTCCATGACTATATTTGTAATTTGGGTTTTTTTTGGCTATTTTCCACAAAGTAATTAAAGAATTTGGTTAAATTTGCAATTTTCTCTACTTTTAATTAGTAAACATTATGTGGTGCACCCACCAATTCAATTTACGTACAGGAGGAAAAAACAACAAAAGGGTCACAATCAGAGGGGGGCCACAACCAACCAGCAGGTGGCAACAATCGTGGGGACAGAACAGGGGCAATATGGTCATTAAAGGTTGTCATCACTGAATATAAGGTCTGCAAAATGTCCTGGAGGGGCATGCGAGAATATTAGAAGTTACTTTCTTTTGGGAGATCATTAGCTTCTCGAATTGCTAATTCTATCCACTTTTCCTCTTATTGCATTGTTCCTGTTAGTTTTCAGCTTATATCCCTTTTCATTATTTAAGAAATCAATACAACAGTTATCTTGAGTTCTTTTATACATTGCAAGCTAGTTCATTACAAAGTGGTATCAGAGCACGTCCTTCCTTGGAGTAAGAAATGGTTCCACCAAAGACTGATACGGTGGGGGTTAGAGTGGAGGTGGTTGAAGAAGAGATTAAATCAATGAAGGAGACAATGGCAAATTTACAAGATAATCTTAAGGTGCAACTCTCATCTCAGATCTCAGAACAGATGGAAGCACTTACCAAAAGGTTTACCGATATAGCCACATAAACCATTAAAAATACCATCTCTAACTCTGGAAGCTTCATCAGAAGAGAAGATGAAACCCCGAAGGGAACTCCGAAGAGCGGTGGGTTCGGTGGTAGCGGGGGTTCAGGAGATAACTATGGTAGTGGAACAAAAATTGGCGATTTCGGAAATTAGACCTGCCCCTATTCAGTGGAGAGAACCCAGACGGGTGGATTTTAAGAGTAGAGCGGTTCTTCAACTTCTATAAACTCTTGGAAACAGACAAGGTGGAAGCTGTGGTGGTGGCGCTTGAAGGTGATGCGCTACTCTGGTTTCAATGGGAACACAAATGACGACCTATTACACGGTGGAACGAGATCAAATCGCTCTTACTCCGGCAATTTCGGCCGATGAACGCATGTACGCTTTACGAGCAATGACTATCCCTAACTCAAACCGGGTCAGTTCAGGAGTATCAAAGATCCTTCATCGAGTTATTAGCCCCATTATGCGTCTTACCAGACGATGTCACCATGGGCCAGTTTGTTAATGGGCTCCAAGAGGAGATAAGGGACGAGGTCTGTTTATTAGAGCCCAGATCTTTAGACCATGCGATGTCCCTAGCGATTAAAGCAGAAGGAAAATTACGCTCCCAACAACACAGGAAGTCATCATCGAACAGAGTGGGAAATACACAGCGATCGACGTCAACCGGAACCCTAACCGGATCTCCCTTGATCACTCCGATTAAAACCACAATTTTTTCTCAAAGGAACTCGCAGGTCCCAAGTATGATCTTTCCCATGGGCACTGAACCAAAAGGGCAATCGACAGGGGAAGTTCGCAGGTTATCTGATAAAGAATGTCAAAGCAAAAGGGAGAAGGGACTGTGTTTCCGTTGTGACGAGAAATGGAATGCAGGTCACAAATGTAAGAAGAAGGAATTAAGTGTGTTGTTGGCACATGAAGAAGACGTTGAAGAGGGAGTCAGGATTCAAGAGCTGGATAATGAAGAACCAATTGAAACATCAGAGACCACCATCTTATCGGGCATATGCCTCAATTCTTTCATAGGTATCAGCAACCCCAAAACCCTAAAATTGAAGGGAACGATTGATGAAACTGAAGTAATCGTGCTCATTGACCCGAGAGCAACACATAATTTCTTGTCTTTAGATGTCGTGGAAAGGTTAAACATACCCATTGCGACAACTAAAGGATTCAGAGTATCACTCGGAACAGGGATGACGGTTACAGGGCAAGGAAAGTGCTAAGGGGTTTTGTTGCAGGTTCAAGGACTTGGAATTAAGGAAGATTTCTTACCTCTCACGTTGGGTAATTCTGATGTCATCTTGGGAATTCAGTGTCTAGAGAAATTGGGTGCTGTTACCACAAACTGGAGGATCCAAGTGATGAGATTCCAATTCGGAGGGCACACAGTCACTCTGAAAGGCGATCCGGCATTGGAGCGAGCCAAGGTGTCCCTAAAAACTATGATAAGAACAATAGGGTCAGTGGGTGGTGGATTCATGGTTCAACTCAACCAGGTTGAAGAACAAGATGCCCAAGAACCCTTACCTCAGTGTCCAAGATATTTGCAAGGGCTTATCAAGAAGTATACTGCAGTTTTCTCATGGAAGGGAGGCTTACCCCCCTTCGTAATCATCAACACACGATCCAGCTGAAGGAAGGAACAGAGCCTGTTTCAGTGCGTCCATATCGATACTCCCACTCTCAAAAGACAGAAATGGAGAAATTATTACAAGATATGCTTAAGTCGGGGATCATCCAACATTCCATAAGCCCTTTCTCGAGCCCGGTCCTCCTTGTTAAAAAAAAGACGGATCATGGAGGTTTTGTATGGATTATCGAAATCTCAACAAGGTCACCGTTAATGATAAGTTTCCCATACCGGTCATAGACGAGTTACTTAACGAACTCCAAGGGTCTCGGATTTTCTCGAAACTTGACTTGAAATCGGGCTACCATCAAATTAGGATGCGAAAAGAAGATGTTCCTAAAACAGCCTTTCGAACACATGAAGGCCATTACAAATTTAAGGTGATGCCTTTGATGGGTTTTGAGCACTACAACATTCCTATGGTGTACATGCAAACCCTAAAGCTTTGGATCTAGTTTGTCTAATGAACATGCAATAATCATCCAAAGCCATAAACCCTATATCTAACATGTGATAATCAATATTAACATATGAAAGGGTTTAGATCTTACCTTTGATTGTTATGTAGCAATAACAATCTATTCCTTCTTGTAATTGACTTCTGAAAGCTTAGAGTCACAAATGTCACTCCTCTAATGGCTCACAAACACCAAGAGTAAGAGGATGAAGAAGGAGAAGAGGAGAGGCACTCAAAAACGTCTAGAAACCCTAAGGAATCAGTTAGCCACGTTTTTGGTGCCCTAGGGGTCCTTAAATAGTGATGCTATTAGGGTTATCTAACAAAGAAACCCTAATTTGACTGCTTAGGCCCTAAGCAACCCATGGACTCCTCCTTTAGAGGCCTTGGACGATTTCTAATGGGTTTCCCCATAGAATTCGTCCACTCCTCTATATGGAGTCCATTAGCCCAATATTCAACTATCACACAATTGACAGTTCTAGTCCTCTAAGTTTAATTAATCTCTTTTAGCCACAAAATTAATTCTTAATTGATTATTGACTAATATTAATTAAACAATATGATTTCTCCTTTAATATATTATTCTCATAATATATTAATAAATCATAATTAATCCTCTCTCTCCATAATTCATCCTATCAAGCTGCTTTGGTGAAGGCAACCCAAAAGGACCATGCACCATCGGGTCAAGTACATACCAAAATAGTTATGGACTTAGACACTAATCCAACAGCCTTTTGGCCTCACGAATGCCCCGACCACCTTCCAATCTCTTATGAACAAGGTATTCCGACCCTATATCCGAAAATTCGTGTTAATATTTTTTGATGACATACTAATCTACAGCAGCAATGCAAAGCAACACCTCACACATTTGGAAGTGGTCTTAGAAACACTGAACAAACACGAGCTATTCGCCAATCCTAGCAAATGTGAATTGGGAAAGTCCAGAGTTGCATATCTGGGACATGTGATTTCTGAACATGGGGTGGCTGTGGACGATGACAAGGTCAAGGCAGTGGAGGCATAGCCAACCCCCAC